GAAGGGCGCCCTGTACGTTGGGCACGAAGTATAGGAAACTTGCATGGTTAAAAAGAAGGGCGCCGCCTACGTTGGGCACGACTTCCGCCTCATTTTTACAATGCGAGAACTCTATCTTGTATTTCTAGTATCTTTGATTATATGTAGGGCGCCCCCTATTTCGTGGCAGTACCATTAGGCGTATTCGAAAGTTCGAAAGGGCTGTTCAAGTAGAACAGCCGATAGGCGATTTGTCCGTTATATCGCGATTTTTCGATCTTACTTCCGCATTTGCTTTGCGCAGCGCCACCTATCGTTTCAAAGCGTACCCACGTTTTAGCGTCGCTCTATTTATAGTTCTCATTAATAGATAAGGCCCGCCCATGGCTTCCTTATATGGTAAAAACATTTCCAAATAATTCTAGTTTCGGAACCAATCGGAGTTGTTTGGGAAAACCCACGTTAACGCAAAGCATTTATCGATTGAAGTTGACGCATGTGAAATAGTGAAAGTCTGAATAGCCTGCCTATGGAAAAACAAAAACTTGCTTAAAAAAAAAAAAAAAATTAAAAAAAACCACTGCAGCACTGTCGTTGTATTGATTTAATTTTTTTTTTTAAATACAGGCTTTGCTTTGTTTATAAAGAATGGTTAATGGTTATTAATTTATAGAGCGCAAAATACAAAAAGTCTCTAAGCGCTATCAGGCAAGTGTAAAGATGGAACGGAAACCAAAAACCACAAAATAAAAAGAAGTGAAATTTGAATACCATGCCAGCACCCAAACCGAAGTATGGGGATACGCCCTCATCGCTGGCTAGGGTTCAATCTAATTGAACTACAGTCAGCACCTCCTATCCTAGTTAAGGCTATAAAAGCTAGCTGGCATGGAAATAGGGAAAAAAATAAATTAAAGGGACGAGAATAAGTGGGTCTTAAGTCGTTAAAATTCTTTGAAAATGGTGACAGAAGGTGACTCACGAATAAATAAAGGTAACAAGTTCCACAACTTGGGCCCAGCAACCATAAACGATCGCTCCCCACAAGACTTTAACCGAAAGGATGGACAATAAAGATTGGTTGAGTCAGTTGTTGACCGGAGGGAACGAGTGCAAGTTGCAGAACGAACCTTAATTAATTCGGAAATGTATTGTGGTGATAACTTGCGAATTGATTTGTAAGCATATAAAAGTACTTTGAATTCAATACGCTGTTTCACTGGCAACCAATGAAGACGACGAAGAGTAGGGGTGATGTGATGGAATTTAGGTGTTCCAGTGACAAGACGAGCAGCGATGTTCATCAATAGCTGCAGCTTTCTAATTGATGTTAATGGTATTCCGTAAAGGACTCCATTACAATAATCCAATCTTGATGTAACCAATGTATGTACAAGTTTTGATGTAGCATCTTCATTTAAAAAACGCCTAACTGCCTTGATGTTGCATGTGTTTGTGTTTGTAATATGTCTAATCATGGATAGTGTGGAGTCAAACGTTACACCGATATGTCGCACCTCAGAAGATGGAATGATGTAGGTGTCTCCCACGCGGATGTTTTCAATGATGGGTACATTTAGACGGGTTTAGGCTTTATATACAGCACTTCTGTCTTATCTGTATTGCAGCAAAGCATATTGATAGACAGCCATCTATGAACATCATCAATACAACCTTCTAAGTTGCGAACTGTCTCTGCGGCAGCCTCCGGACTAAAAGATGTGTACAATTGCGTGTCGTCGGCATAAACGTGATATTTAATACCGTGTTTCTGAATGATGTCACCAGGAGGACGTACCTAAATAAGGAACAAAATGGGCCCCAAGGTAGAACCTTGAGGAACACCAACATTCACTGGGACTGGAACTGAAATGGCTGATTCCACTCTAACAGACTGTTGTCTAGATTTTATGTAAGAGTTGAACCATGTTAATACTGTACCAGAAATCCCTAAAGCTGAAAGTCGATCAATGAGGATACTGTGATCGATGG